AAGAAAGGAATCTCACTAGAATTATAGCCATAGTTTCCTAGATTCATTTCCAGTCTTTCAGTCCTCAGTGAAGTTGGTATAATTTCCCTTCCAATGGGCGAGATTTGGAATTGTTCACAGTCACAAGTGAGAGAACAAAAGGAGAGATTTTCATTTATAAGATTGCCTTCTCTTATCTATTGGTCTTGCCTCCCAGACCGTCTGTCTGTCTCTGGAAAGCAAAGTCAATAAAAATGATTAGAGTTGGCATCTCACAAATGTACACCGTTAAACCGTGAAGCAGTAATGCTGTGCAGGAAATATTTTTCTGACCTTTTCAAATTGCATCCAACTGTCTCGGGAATTTCTCAGTGACTAGAGGTAATAAGGTTCAATCCATTTTACTGGCTGCCTTCAAATTTAGTTCCTCCGAAGCTCTAACTTATCTATTCTTTGCATCTTGGCCCCAGCATCCATTCAGCACAGAAATCCATGCATCTAATCTTTTTCCCCCTTCTCAGGTTCTTGCTAAAGGATCACACTGTGGAATCTACAACCATGACAACTTTCCACTTATGGCCCCCTTGAAAAACAAAATATTAGCACAAGAAGATTAGTGGGCATGTTGTCTTTTGATAAGCCCTCGTTGAATTTAATTAGCTTTTAGATTTCATCCCATCTTACATCTCGGTTTTTACCTATATGATTTATGCCTCTGTAATCTTCGTTCTAAAACTTTTTAAACTTAACCAAACCATGAGCATTCTCTCGAATATTAAAGAGGCAAAAATAGGCGAATTTCTTTTATGTTAAATTAATTTTGCTTTTTCTTCCGTGAGTCCAAATGCACCAGACATACTCTCCTAGAAAGGAAGGGAGTCAGCCAAGTGTAACATGCTAAAAGGCAGCTGGGCGGCCTCTTCACCGTGTTCCCTGAAGGAGAACAGAAAACAGAAGCTGGGGACACATTTCTTGACCTCGTGAAAGCATTGGATGTCAGGAAGCCTTGACAAGAAATTAAAAAGCTCGTCTTACTTTTTGTATTTAGAGCATCTCCATGTTGACTATGATTCTGGGGAGATATCAGTGTTTCCTCATTTGTAGGACACACCAAATTCAGTAGCATTCTCTGCTGTGTTGTTCTCATCCATTGCCCCTGTACTGCCTTCTGCAGAGGAGATTAGAATCTTGGCTGGAATTTCCTGTGGTCAGTGGAGCTTGGAGCCTCTTTCTGGCTTGGAAGGCATGTTCGTGGGCAAAGAACCACCAGGAGGAATAAGTCTTTTTGAAGTTACCCTTTTAAGAGTTTGCATTTTCTTGTACACCAGTTCTTAAGTTTGATTGTCATAAGGTATTTGACTTTATAAAAATGAGATTTCAAACAACCCTATTAAGAAAATAGACTTGGGGAAAAGGAGGCAAAGAGCAGACGTTTTAATAGTTATGACACAGTATTTTTTTTCCTGAAGAAACTGTGTATATTCATACCAAAGTTCATCTTCATAATATGGCTTATCTTTTTCACTTAAAACAAAGTGCTTAAAGTTTTTAGTCAAAGTAAAAATGGAATATACCAAGTTATGTTTAAGAATAAGCTGCTGTTTCATCATTTGCAATTTTGTCGATCTTGATAATAGAGTCACAGCCCAAGATATTCTTTTATGACTTGGGTGTGGTTAGAGGTCATTTTGTTTGGGAAAGATGGAGTATTTTGGCAGTTTTGCAAATCAGATTTACTTGATATTTGCCATGCAGCTTAATGTTTTTATCAGTAGTCAAGGAAGAGTGAAGGCTTTCAGGTACAATAACTAAAGCTGTCTGTTTCTTGAGAGGAGATACAGTACACCTGAGAGGTTGTTAATTCAGATGTGTGCATGTCTGCACATATGTGTGCAGCCATGTGTGAGTGTGTACATTAACTTAAATTCAGGATTGGAAGGCAACAAGTCTGAAAACAGAGTCTAGTTTCTCCATGTGGATGCCACCTCTTAATAAAATGGAAACTTGTCTATACCTATGAAAACCTTTCAGAACACAGAATGGCTTAGCTGATTGAGTCAAATCATTACACATTTAGTGCCTCCTCTTTCTCATTTCTGAGATATATCGTCTTTGCTTCAGAACCTGGAAGTAGAACAAAGTCCAAGTTTAGACTTTCCATTGCAAGCGTAAAGTGATTTGAATCTGGTAGAAGAACGAAGTAAAGTCATTCTGGGGTCACTTTGTACTGAGGTTGTTTTGCTTTTCTGGGTATGCTTAGAGTTTGGAAAATGGCTATGGAATGAATCAGGTAGGCAAAAGGGAATAGGTCACCTAATGAACAGTGCCAATAATAATAATGTCTGATTCTTTTTGGATAACTACTATTTACCGGGTGTATCACAGATAAGTCACTCAACCTCACTTAGTCTTTGCAGGAACCCAGTAAGACAGGCACAACGGTCTTCAACTTACAGGGAGAAAAAGTGAGGCTTAGAGAGGGAGATTGTGTGAAGAGAATTATTTTTACCTGGAAAGGAATGAAATAATCTATTCATTGTGATAATTGTTTTTTTCTTCCTCTACCCTTTTCTTCTCCTTTTTTATTCTTTTCCTTCATCACCTCCTTCTCTTTCTTCTTACTTAGCTTCTCCCTCTCTCTAGTTCTCTTTTCTCAAACAGAGAATGAAATGGGACCATGTTGTTAAAGCACTGTCCCATTGGGTCTTGATCAACGAGGACAGCCATTTTTTTTCCTCCTTCATCATGGAGTTGCTCTTAGTCGGGCTACTTATTTAATCATTTTGAAAGTTTGATAAGGGCTAAGAGTTCTGGCTGGTGGTTTATTTATCATCACATATCTTTTTTTTTTAAATTAACTTAAAAGACTATCACAGGTGGCAGATTATGGACTGTATGCCATCCCTCATAAGCTCACATTCAAGTCTGCCTTCTATCGTTTATCTTTGTCAATGATTGTGCAGTGTTAAAAGGAAGAAAGAATGAATTGAGGATAGTAGATGTTCAAAGATATTTTTGTGGGTAACTTAGTAAAACCTGTTACTATAAAAAGAATGTGTTACTGTATCAGGATATCTAGAAAATGAATTTTTTTTCAAATATACAACTGAGATTCTTTTTTCTATTTTCCTCACACATCAATATTACAAATGTAAATTTCTGATTGCTAGAGCAGGCTTGTTTTAGTGACATTAGCTCAATGGAGATATCGATGTCCTGGGATTCAATTTCACTCTTATAGTGATGCTTAATATACTTCAATTTGTGTCTCAGGGAAGGGGCTTGGTACTTGGTTATTTATTCTGGGTAAAGTGGGCTTTTTGTGTTGCCACAGCATCACTTAGATTCCTGATACCAAGGCCAGCAACAGGCATAACAGAAGGATAGAAAATGGATTCAAATCTAAGCAGAGTGGTAGAATCTCAAAAGCTCTGTCACCAACACTCACTGCAAATATACTCTTTCTAGAAGTGAGTGTTCTGAAAATGTGGTCTGCATGTTACTTGTGATAAATATCCCCTCTAAAAAGATTCATACAAACACAAGGAAGGCAGTATGGTTTTAGATGCAAATATTATTTCAAGGTTTCTCGCTCTCTTTTTCTCTCTCTCTCATACACCTTGGGTCTGGGGACTTTCAAATATGCATGTGATCTCAGTTTAGGGTTCATGAATGACTTTGTGTTTTGCACAAGGCCCCTTTGATTTCCACTCTCACCATTATTGGAAATAAACTCAAAATTGTATAAACAAACAAATTGTTCTGAAACTATCTGCCACACAGAGTTCATTTTCAACACTTTGCTTTCCATTATTGCTGAAGGAAGGGAAATGACAGCATTGGCTTTAAATCTGTAAATTTACTAGTGGGGCACCAGTCTGTGCTTCTGTGAAATATTGGTAATCTCCACTTACTGTCAGGGCTACCGCAGTATTTACTTTTCCTTAATTGGAACCCCACTGATATCCTGTGGGATTCCCTCCATTCTCCTCCCCTTGGCAAGGCAATATATCCATATAGACCTAGATCATAACCACATGGTCTATTGTAATATTATAGTCAGGAATATCAACACTGGGATCAAAATTAAACCAACCTCCAGTTTCCAGATTGCCTTTTGATATTATTAGGAACTCACCATTTTCTCAGTGTTTACCTTTGAAGTTAAAGAAATGTCTGCAGAAGCTCAAATTGAAGGCACTTTATCACAGTGCTTCCTCTTCCGTTTTAATTCTTCATTTCATTGCTTCCAAAAGTGTGGGGATGACTGATTACATTGCAAACTATTATCCATAATGAACAAGCAAACAACAAATACAAATGGTTTGGGCACTCCATATAGAAATGTTATTTAAAAAATACCTTCATCCTTTCTAGGTGAACAAATGTGGTAAGATGCCTGGAAAGCCTTAATTTTATTAAAGTTAAATATATTAAAATTAAGTAAATCCCCTTTATCTTAACTTTTGGTGTCGAAACAGGATTTGTTACCTTGGACATCAGAGGCCTTCGTTGTCTTTATTTATGGTTTCAGCATTTGCTTTTCCCATGTGCTATTTTTATTTTTGTCATTGAAGCTCATGAAGACTTAATCATTATCCCTCTAATTTTCCGAAAAAAAAAGTTGATTTATTGAACTGACTGCAGAAAAAGAAGAAGAAGAAGAAGATCAATCTGACATTGTAGGTTAATAGTAGGGAACAAAACACATTCGTAATTAGAAGAGAAAAGGACTTTCCTTGTTCATTCCAGTTTATAATAAAAAGCCCCTCGCTAAAGTGTCTTAGAAAATAATGCATTCAGACTGAGTCGAATTACCGCCTAGCAGATTCTATTTATCTGTAGCTTAAAAAGCAGCTGCGTTTTTGTAAAAAGCAATGAATGTGGCAGTCCTACTTAAAGGTAGAAGAAAAAGAACACCCCTTGTTTTGTAATAAGGGGATTTTCAATTTAAAAGAGAGAGCAAGCCTGTTGTGTGAAGTAGGGTTATTACATTCACTGTATTCTATCTCACCCACCAGGAGGCTAATAATGAAGGGGCCGGGAAGGAGGCCAGTGCTACCAGGGTTATCTCACAACCTCAGATGCTGGATAAGGCGAAGGAGCAGAATCGCTTTGGGATGGCATTCAGAAAGGCTGGAGTGATTACTTGGAAGAGAAAAGCCTACCCATTCTTTCCAAGGTAAATAGTTCATTTCATCTGTCAGCTGCATGTTTCAGTATACAAATATGTTTGTATGAAGATATCTATTAAGTTTTCCTTTTAAAAAATCATTTTAGGTGCAGGAATATTCCCTTGACCTGCTCATCCAATGGTCCAGTAATGAATTACTAGAGACCTGCCTTAGACAAAGAATGCACTCGGAGCCCCACCACACCTAAAGCCACGCTTTGAAGGACCTGCCAAGCTCACTTTTAATCATGAGAAAGAAATTACCCACACGGAGTCAGCAGAAAATGAGAAAGTAGAGCTCGTGCTGTGAATAATTCCAGCAAGTGCCAAGGGGCTAGCTGAGGAATGGCTTTCATGAGGTGAATATCTTTAGCTTGTACTTAGGGTTTGGTTAGCGTATAATCATTTTCTCTTTTAGGAGCAATGACTATCATACATGTGTTTCCTAACTAAAGAGTGCTCAGAGCATTTGTCAGGATGTTGACAGATTTAATATCAGTCTTGCCCATGTTGTTATTTACTATGACTAATTTTACTTTTGCAAATACGCAAAAATCAATTTAGGCGGAAAGGCTCTCCTCCAACTCAATGACTGCTACTAGCTGTATGTATTTGTGTGTATTGCTGTGAGTGCACATCCAGTAATTTATGTCTCTGTGTCTGTATGTGCCCTTGTTCTTGTCTTCTCTCTGTTGTGAACGCAGGTTGGGAGAATTAGCCAACCATTGGGTTCTCAGATGTGGTCCCAGGCTTTCATTTGATTTTTGGAAGGGGAAAAAAAGAATGTGTCACATCATGATTAATGGTGAATCTGAATTTTCAATTCACATGAAAGGAGGAAGGGGAGGGGATATGAGTCAAGTGACAAGACTAACCTTTTCCCTTTGGGAGGAGCATGATTCAAATTAAACATCACTTTCAGTGTGAAATTAGTTTGAAGGCCTCTTTTTTTTGTGCCTGGTTTAACTCCTTGGTGGCTGCTTTTTCAGAGAGGATTTCTTCCCTCCCAGCTCCATCCCCGTAGCCCACAGTTCCTCTTCCTTTGCTTTATTTTTCTAAAGATGAGGTCCAGGAAAAAAATATTTTACTATTTCAAAAGCTTCACTTCTCACAAAATAAGATTCTCCCTGAAACATGTTATTTCTTTGTCTCCCAAACTAATGTTTTAATACATTAAATCAATTTATCAATTAATCAATAATCACATTCTTCTTTTTTAAAAGATAATTTTGCCAGGGAGGAGGGAGAAAGGAAGCAAGGGATCCTTTTGAAAGGCATTTTTGAGTGCCCTCTGTTCAGTGCCAGTTTTTGCTGGCTGAGTGAGCCACAGAGGAAAAACAGCAACAAAAAACCCCAAGTTCTCTCCTGAGTCACTAGTTTCCCACATAACTGAGTCACAGGATTGCCATGCCAACCTTCAGCAATGTTGGCTTTCAGCAAGCATGTGCCTTCACACTTTAAAACTGCCCATCCGTACAGATCCAAAGGATGCAGGTCTAAACTTGTAGAAAGAATGCACTGCCTGAGAAAATGCAAAGCTGCCTTTCTATGTGTCCACATTCTTGATGCCACCATTTAAGCATCAGCAGCATTTGATATGTGATTGATTGTCTTTCTGGAGTTTGGTGGCTGGTGAAGAAAGGGAAAGTGTTGAGTTGGTTAAGAAACAGTATTATCCTTCTAGTGTATTTTTAAAAGGAAAATCTTAGGGCTCTTGAACCCCTTCCCTAATGGAAGGAGAGATGAGGTAGAGGAGCAGTGGGGGTTGGAGGGGTACAGGGCGGGGAGAGCTGAGCCAGCTGGGGGAGGAGGTAGAGGTGGAGTCTAGGAGGTAGAAGGTGGAGGCAGATGAGCAGCTGTGTTTATTTTAAAACATATCATTTAACCCTCATCTGAAAACAAATTGGAGAGGTTTGGGAGTGCATTAATCTGGACCCAATTAGCATGTCTTTCTCCTTCAAAAGTGCAACCTGAGATTAATGAATATAAACTAGAGTTTCAGATGCAGTGCTTAAATCATTTGCATGTTTTCTGCATGATAATTGAATTTATGTATGCACTTCCTTTCATTTAACTATCTGTAGTCTCTTCCCTGTGATTCACATAATCCAAGATGTCATGGTAGTAACCTGTAGATGGAAATAGCTTGCCTAGCCTTTACTGCTATGGAGGAACGCAAGTTCTTGTTTCCTTTATTTGAATTTGAATAATGCATTTTTTAAAAAGCAGAGGGCAGTGCTTAATAGCCTCGAATGCTGTTTCAGGAGTTGGTAGATGACACCTCAAGTTTATTTTTGAAAGGCCAGAAAAAAAACCATTGGGATTTATGGCATTGAGTTTTCAGTGGTACCAGAGAAACGGGTTTCAGTATGGCCACTTATAAGTGTTTTAATACTACCAAGAGCAATGTCACTTTAATGAAGCATGAAGAATGTTATTGGTCTTTGGACCTGAGTTATTTAGATCACTGAGAGATTTCAGTGCATAGTATTGTTTCTGGCATCGTTCTCGCTTTTGCAGATGGGATGGGGGATGTATCTCTATAAAAGGCTGTAGGTGAGCAGTTAGCACTTGTGTGGTCCCTTAGTATGCTATACTTTTTAATTTCCTTTTTGTTATTTAGGTGTAGAGAAAGCTTAACGCTTACATAGTCAAACAGGTACTAAGATTCCCACTCCCCACCTGCCCCAAAAAGAAAAGTATAAAAGCCAGCATGGGTATGTAAGAAAGCTTTCTGGGGAAGAAGTTGAAGCAAGAGGTTTGAAATAATTCCTCTGGTTTCAGTTTGCATCAGTGATTTGTCTGTCTTCTGTCTTTCCATATGTGTTTCCAAGTTCAATGTCAAAGTGATCAGCTTTTCTCCAGGAATTCTCCCCAGTGTCCTTTGTTTTTGGTGAATTCAATGATTGAATGTCTCTGAGTGTCTCTTGGTCTTGTTTCCTGGTCCTTGTAGCTAAGAATGTCATGGAAGGATAAAATCTTGTTAATTTGTGATGTCATAATTTAAGTGTGCTTCTTGTCACTTATGTGTAGTTTAAAATGTTTCTTAATGTAGCATGAAATGATTGGTTAGCTTTGAAATGGTTGTGAAGTCATGTGAAGAAATAAGTTTTGCATCCGACCAAGATAAATTCACTCTAGTGCTTTATGGCTTTTTATTCCTATGTGATAGTAATAAAGTCTCATGTAGGGATGGAAGCCATGAAATACATTGTGAAAAATCATCAACTCAGAAGGGGCCATCAGTATAGAGAACGTTAGCCTGTTGAGCTGTGAATGTGATAGAGACACGATTTAGTGTATAGCTCTGCTACATGCTTGGTGTTCCTTTGAGTTTCCTTATCCTTCGATTTTGACAGCTAAGGAATTTAGGAGGATTCATATTCGTAATCATTGATTAACATACACATTTGGTTTTGCACATTTTTGTTTATCATTCGTTTTTCTCCTTTTTCTATTAATGAATGTGCTCCAGGGGAACTATTAATAGCCCACCAGTCTGATAGGCAGCATTTAATCCTTCTATGCCTTCTTTCGCCACCTGTTGAGGTCTTTCTTCTGAAACAAAGAAGAAATAGACAAATCAGACTTGTCCTCTTGGAAATGTGGTCCAGATTTCTCTACTCCCAAGCTCCAAAAAAAAAAAAAAAAGGTATATATTGGATGGGCTAGATCAACACCTCCTGAGAGCCATAAATCCACCAAGAGTTGTTTTCCATTTAAGGGTGTGGTACATTGTGGAACACCTGATGTTGGAGGAAAGCAGGAGGGCTTTGGGGTGGAGTTTCATTCTCTCTGCCATGGCGACTATGTGATCTGCGGCAAATGGTATAAACTCTATGAGCCTCTTTCCTTATGTTTAAAATGAAGAGAAGTAATACCTACTTCGTAGGGTTGTTGTGAAGATTCAATGAAGTAATGCATACAGTGCCTAACAAAGTATTTGACATCATATTTTTTAAAAACTCATGAAATATTAGTTTTTCTTCCTTCCCCTCTTTCTGTTTTCTCCCCTGTTCCCTTTTCTTTCCCTCCTCTGCCGTCTCCTTCCTTCAGATGTTAGTCTAAAACTGCACCTTGGATCTAAGCAGCACCTTTGAGAAAGAAAAGACTCCTTCAAGAATGTCTAGTTGCACCTCCTTTCCATATTCGGCCTAAATGCCTAGGTTGGATCAATAGTTTAATTTTTGTATTGAACTGTTTAATGTTGACTATGGACCTATATTCACTTTTACTGTTTCCTGTGTATTTATTTTTGCTTGAATTGTTTTAATATTGACTATTTGCCTTTACTCATTTTTATTGATTTTTGGTATTTTTTTCAATGAAAATCATAATAAAAATTATTTTTGTTATCTTTTGTCTCTCTATTTCTTCTACACATGGAATTTTAGCCTAGATCTAGGCTTCCCCAGTAAGACAAATGATGCTGTTTTCTTAAAAACCACCCACTGTTAGTACTGAAAGAACTATATCCCCTCACTACTCTCCGCTCCCACTTGCCTATCTGTGTTTGGGGACATTTATCAATTTAGTTGTAACTGTGATGCTCACTTATCTTTTAAATATATAAAAGTTAGAATCTGACTTTATCTCTAAAGCCTGGAAATAATTGTCAGCAAAGAGAAGGACTTTGCAAGTAACAGAAAGTGTTTAAAATCACAGAATAATATGTGTATTGCTATAAAAATAGAATGCAGTGAAAATCAATGACACCACGTTTGTATCCAGAGTTATTTTATCATCATTGAATTTGTTCTTTAAACCTCAGGCTTACCCCTAAACCCCCAGGTCCTAGAAGTATGCCTGATGGTAGAACATTAAATATTTGTGAACAAACGAATGGGAAAAGAGGAGAGAAGGATGATGGGGGGAGGGAGAGAGGAAGGGAGAGCAATGAGAAGAATAAAGAAGCAAAGGGCCATATCACCGAAGGAAATATATTGTATATTTAGGAAAGCAGGACAGACATGTACATGCATGAGCGCGCACACGCACGCGCACACACACACACACACAAAGGCCTACTGCAAGAATGTGCAGAGTTGAAGTTTGGAGTTGATATTACTACACCACTCAAGATAAAATGTAATATGAATGACATAGAAAAAATTACTGTAGGGACCTCGTTCAAAGAAAGTTTTCTAGAATCCGGGAAAGAAAAGATTAATGTCAGGACATAGACAGCCAAATTTCCATAGACAAGAATCAAGAATTTGAAAATTGATGTGTCAAGGAATTCGTGAAAAGCTTAAGTGAGTGGTTCTTGGGAATTTTCCCAGCACACGAAGTATTCTACCCCGGAGAATAGATTTACTTCTAAGTATCTTCACAAGTACCATTTGAAGCAGATAGTAGGTTTAATGGACACACTTACTTAGATTAATTAATTAATTACTGCTGAGTCTCAGTGGGCTGCAATCAGCTATTACCCATATGGGATGAGATAAGTCTAGTCTTCCAGCATGCCCATGATTTCAGGAATAGCCATGTATTTGCCTGCTTTCCCCTTCCCTGTACTCTTATGTGGTTGTATCTGAATTCCAATACTTGCTGCCTCTGAGGCAACTTGTACAAAAGCAATGGTTGCCAAGAAGGGCTCAGCACCTCCCAATAGCTCTGGATATTGAACCTGACACCAGATTCTGATTTTTTTTAAAGTATTGGCTGGCAGTAAATCTCACAGGGTATTCCTATGTAAGGTGCATATAAATATGTTGGCCAGTGGAGAAGAATGCTGCGATGAAAGGTGATCTCCCTCAGCAAGAGAATGAGTGAATCTGTCAATCTTGCTACTGGTCTGGGCACAAGCAGGAGACACAGGATCAGGAAAAAATGAGAGTGTGACAACGGGACAGAGCCATCCTTCTCATGTTGCTTCACTCCATGCCCTCATCAGACATTTCTCTTCATCAGAGGTGTCACCAAAAACATTGTCTTAGTCATTGGAGGACAATATTCATGGGATCTGGGTTTGGGCAGCTTAAGAAAAAACCATACATCATCTTACATATTCAAATTCCAAAATGGTGCTATGGAGTTGGTAGGCCTCATAAGAAGGTGAAATAGTTTGGAAATCTTATCTCATTATCTGAGTGGTAACAGGGATACTGAATCCATGGTTCAAATAGCAAAGCCTGGTCTTTTTCATCACAATTTGGACCTCGCCAAGTAGGCACGTACACTGTGTTGCTCAGATGCGAATGAGCTCATGCTGGCACACACCTTTCCTCTTACCCAACTTTATCAGCAAAGTCACCCACATCTGCAGTGAGACATGACTGAGGAAGAAATAGAACTGCAGCTTGGGATGAGGGTGGGGTCTATCAGGAGAGCAGGACCCAGAATCTCAGTGAGCACCAATGTGACCCTCTTGGTCATGAACCTCAGGGTTTCCACTACTAAACCAATTCCTGGAATCATATCTCTGTAGGGTAGCTATTCCAGAAAGGGTTTTCCCAGGCCCTGTTTTTTATGGATTGGACTATTCTTGGATTTGAAATACTGATGGCCAAAAGGTGGAGTGGGATGGGGTTTGAGGAAAATCTCTCTTGATTCTATTAAATGGTCCTCAGAACCTTCCATAAAGGAAACTTGGAAATATGATAATTCAGAGACGGAAGGCAGGGATACCAGGCCTTTTTACCTTTCTCTTCACCTTTATCCTTATTAAGAAGAATGCAAAATAAATTGGTTGGTTCAAGGTAATCATGTTTGCCCTTACAGTCATTGTTTCATTCCATTAGATTTTTTCTCTTTCATCTGCTTAATTGGACATTTAAAAAATCTTTCCAGCCAAGAGATAACAAATATTCTGAGTGTGTGTTTTAGCAGGGAATACATAAGCAATTTATTGGTAGTCCAAAATTAGGTTACACAATGAGGGCTCAATAAATGTGGATGACTTAATTGCTTGCTTAATTAAGCTCAAAGTTCTTACAGTGACCCCCCCTAGGCTCACATGGCCTGCATTCACCCCATCTTTCCAACCTCATCTCTTGCCACTCTTCCTATTGCTGATTTTAGGGTATTTCATAAATACACCAAATGTACTTCTACTTCAGAGCCTTTAAAATTGTTTCCTTGGCCAGCAATGGTGGCTCATGCCTATAATCCTAGCACTTTGGGAGGCTGAGGTGTGGAGGGGGGGAGGGGCACGAGGTCAAGAGATTGAGACCATCCTGGTCAACATGGTGAGACCCTGTCTCTACTAAAAATACAAAAATTAGGCCCACGCCTATAATCCCAGGACTTTGGGAGGCCAAGGCGGGTGAATCACGAGGTCAAGAGATCAAGACCATCCTGGTCAACATGGTGAAACCCCGTCTCTACTAAAAACATACAAAATAAGCTGGGCATGGTGTCGCGTGCCTATAATCCCAGCTACTCAGGAGGCTGAGGCAGGAGAATTGCCTGAACCCAGGAGGCGAGGTTGCGGTGAGCCGAGATTGTGCCATTGCACTCCAGCCTGGGTAACAAGAGCAAAACTCCGTCTCAAAAAACAACAACAACAACAAAAACACCCCAAAATTAGCTGGTCATGGTGGCGTGAGCCTGTAGTCCCAGCTACTCGGGAGGCTGAGGCAGGAGAATTACTTGAACCCAGTAGGTGGAGGTTGCAGTTAGCCAAGATCGCGCCATTGCACTCCAGCCTGGGCAATAAGAGCGAAACTCCGTTTCAAAAAAAAAAATGGTTTCTTTGACCTAGAATACCCTTCCTGGGTATTTACATGTCCACCAGTTCACTGACTCAAATCTCCGCTCCAAAGTCTCTGATCAATGAGCCTTGCTCTCACTGTGACTATAAAATCATGTCTCCTCCTCTTCCATACTCCCACCGCCTTGTTTTTCTCCATAGCACTTTCCATCATCTGATATGCTACATATGTACCTGGTTTTTTCTTTGTTTATAGTCTTACCTCACTAGCTCCCAGGTGGCTGGAAGATAAATCTTTCTCTGTATTTACTACTTTTTCCCCGGAGCCTAGAAGCATGTCTGCACATAGTAGACATTCAAATATCTGTTAAATGAAGTAATACATATTTGGCACTTCCTGACATTAATGTGTCAAGATACTACTATTATAGGTAATGACAAAAAGAATCACTTACATTTCTCACCCTGAGTTCACCATGCTCTAACCATTATCTTCTTGTAAGATGCTTAGTTTTGCTTTCCTAGTTTTCCCTCTTATAAATAATGCTGAGATGGATCTTTCTTTGCCCATCAACTTTTATCTCTATCCTTCCTTAGAATAAATTCTTAGTAGTGAGGTTACCGAGTTAGAAATTAGTGGGCATTTCTGTGGTTCTTTATAAATATTACCAAATTGTTTTCCAGGAATGTACCAATCTACACTCCTAGCAGAAGTAAATGTCAGAAAATTTTTGTTTACCTTCTTTTCTTCATCAGCATTATGTTGTTTTGCACTAAGTTAACCAGATTCCCCTGCTGTCTCCATTCCTTTGTTCTCTTTGGGAGTGTCTGTCAAAATGTGCTATTTTAATTTACTTTTTCAACTTTGATCTTATGTTTCTAGAATGAAAGCATCATTTTAGAAATGGAAAAAAACCATAAATTATATTTTTCAATCCCCCATTCTATATATGAGGAAATGGAGCTCATAGTTCATACTGCTGACCACTAGCAAGGGTAGGAGTGAGGGACGCAAGACTTTGGTGACTCTCTCATCAGCACCTGAAAATACTTGAAAATCATGAGTCACCTAATAGAAATCATAGTACACAATGCTAACTCATAAATACCAGTGTCTGCCTGTTCCTGGTTTTAATTAAGGTCAAGATGTCCACAAGAGTATCTCTGGATGCTGAGAGGGTAGCTCTGTTTGTGGTGTGTATGATATAACTTTGAAGTTGTACTTCCTGCTCTACTTACTGTGTTAACTTCTTCCAGAATCTTTTGTTATCTAAGCCTCTTGCACAATCTAGCTCCTTTGCATTTGTCTTTTTTTTTTTTTTGGTGAATTTCATAAAATTATAAGGTAACCAAGAAATGAACAGCATTTGTTAAATTTCTTTGAAAAAAAACTAAAACAATTAGTGTTCCTACTAAAGAGAAAGGTCTTGGGCTTTTCCAGAGCTATCAGCAAATTGCCATTTGGAGACTTTGTGGGAATGATGATTCACACCAGCGTGTACATGTATATAAGCCTTTGGAGACGTACCAACATCTAGCTTCCCAGATAAGCACATATAGTCTCTAATTTCTCTGTAGAGAAATACACATTAATGAAAAACTTAAAATTATATTTGCCTTTCCTTTGAAATCTTCAAGACTAGTCCTGTGGTTTCTCATCACATTAAAAAAGCCTTAATAAGACTTTTGTCAGATATG